TGGCCACAATGGCTGGAGCTACGCCATTACGAAGCCAGGAGCCAGGAGCTTCTTCCTGGTCTCCCATGTAGGTGCAGGGGCCCAAGCACTTGGGTCATCTTATACTGCTTTTCCAGGCCACAACAGAGAGCTGGATCAGAAGAGGAGCAGCTGGGACTAGAACCGGCGCCCATATGGGATGCTGGCGCTGCAGGCAGAGGATTAACCTAGTATGGCACGGCGCCGGCCCCAGTTTACTATATTTCTGTCCTTCAACATTATACTGCAAACGTTCCTTCAAATCATTGTAAGTTTTTAGGAAACAAATTCATTATGGCTGCTGGATAGTCCATCAGTTGTACATAATCACAAATTGTTTTATTATTCCCTCTAGTTAGATATTGAGAGATGTTCCATTTTTGTTTTGTGACAATGCAATTAATTCTAACATGATCAATATTTTGCTAAATAAAAGCTCCCATGTGGGTGGGAGTGGCCTGAGCCCTCGGGCCTTCCTCTGCTGCTCTCCCAGGCACAGGAGCAGAGAGCTGGAGCAGAAGTGGAGCAGCCAGGAGTCACCAGCTCTCTGATGTGGCTTGCTGGCGTGGCAAGCCGTGGCTCAACCCACTGCACCCAAACGTGAACCACGCTATGAGAACACGGAATCTCATCAAACCGTGCCTACGTTTGCCATCCAAAGTCTTGGGGTCGCGTGACTTGGGGATGGCCGAGAAAGCCTACAGTACAATAAAGCAACCCCGTGGGTCACTGCAGGTGAGACGCGTCCCTGGAAGCCATGAGTCCCAGGAAGCAGAGCCCAGCCTTCCTGGGAAGCGCAGGGGAAATTCTTCAGATGCTGTGATTAGTACTTCATGAGTCTTCATGTCTGGCAGCTATTCCTGAAGTACCGTCGGATAATACCTACTCTACTGGTTCACTCTGACACACTCTGTGCCTCCATACTTTATTGCTTATATTTAGAATAATCTCTCTCTCTCCCTCCCTCCCTCTCTCCCTCCCTCCCTCTCTCTCCCTCTCTCCCTCCCTTCCTCTCTCTCTCTCTCCTCTCTCTCTTGTTCTCCAAACACCAGGTAGCTTTCACACCCTACTATGCCAGGCAATGTGTGTTGTAACGCTGTTGTTGTATTAAACACACACACACACATTTTAAGAATCCACCCTGACAAGTGTGGCCTTTGCTTACAAAAAATAGGAGAAGAAGACAGTTTACACTGCTGAGTAGCAAAGACCATATTTTCTCGTATTTAGGAACAAAGACATGTCAGGCTTTATTGAGCACATCACTAACTATATAACTAGCGTTAAACACTCTATTTGCAACTGTTGCTGTGTATTTTGTGTGTGATTATCACCCCTAGATCTGCATCCTATAAAAAGATATTTCTGTTTGCTTAATTATAAAGCTCTTTGTGAACAGGCTCATCTGTAAATAGCTTGGTGCAGCTGAAATAGAAATATAATTATAATGAAGGCAGATGTTTGTGAGATACTGGCGCATGAGACTTGTTCAGAATCTACAAAGGAGAAGTGGGAGCGTGTGTTTACTGGCAGGCCAGCGCTGGGAGCAGGGGGGCTCGCCTCTGGGCCGACTTGAGAGGCGTCCCCTGTCCTCTCACCCTCTCCAGCCTCCGTTTCTTGGATCTGGGGGAGCGAGGTTCACCCCATGCCATCCCTGACTTCCACGAGGGCCAGTCCAGAGGAGTCCCCGGCCAGCTCCCCAGAAGCCGGAGCTGGGTCTGGGGCAGGAGGTGGAGCCTGTGGCTGGGCCGCCACATCCCCCCGGCTGATTGTCATGGCTTCAGATCTGGCGTGGAAGATTTCAGTGATTAAAATGACTTTCCTTCGGTGATTAAGCGTCCCTTTCTCTTAATGCAGCTTTTCTAGAGATACACAGAGAGGACCAAATGTGTCGAGAGGAGCAGTAAAGAAAAAGTGCTGATACTACAAAGCTTTTTCCATCTGGCCGTGGATATATTGATAAATGATTCTGATGAACTTGGGAGAACAAAGTACTTCATAGGAGGTTTGTAACTTAAAGGGAAAAAAATCATCCAAGCCAAGTTTTATTTGGGGCTGATAATCCCATTGTTTCATTTAAGCATCTCTGATCCCAAATAAATTTTTTTCCAAATTCCTGGTGGAGTGGCCTTTGGGACCCTGTGTTTATTTGTCCAAGTTTTCTGGGTCATTAATGTGGTAGGGATTTTTAGGCACTTAGAAAATGTTCTTACTTTCTAAGATTCTACTAGTTGAATGCATTGAACAGCAGGTTAGTCTCCTTAGGGCATCCTCCTGTGGGTACACTCCTCACGGGCACGCTGTCCAGCCAGGCCCGGCTCTGTGCTGGATTTCAGAGCCTGGTGGGGGACTCACAGGGCACTCGTAATGGTTATTTTCAAATGCAGGTCATCCTGACTTACTTCCACGTGGGCCTGATGCGGTGAACTGTGTGTGTCCCTGAGACAGCAACTGTGAATGGGGCTTCACAGCCCAATTAATTGCATTTTAGCAATTAGGGGCTCAGGCTGGGTTATGACGTCTTTCATAAAGGGACTGATTTTTCTCATATTGATCTGTCTCTAGCTCATTACACACACACACACACATGTTGATACAGTAGGTCTTACATAGAAATAGATATATTTGTAATGTGTGTCATATAAGTCTCCGTCTCTAGATATCTATACATACACATATCCTGTGCTTTCTGTTTATCACACTCGAGCACTAGTTTTTCTCCAAAATTATTTCAGCACACCAACCAGAAATCAGTAGTTACGGTAGTGAACACCTATGGTAGAAGTAACGTGTCTCAAGTATCCACTGACTTTAAGAGAATGGTTGCAATGAGTAGGCTTTTGCACACACATGCTCTTCCAAATGCCTAACCTGTCAGGGTAGCTGGCATTTGGGTGCAGATGTAGGGACATGGCCTCTGGCACCCTGCCAGTGTCTGGGGAGATCCCACGCCCTCACACCGAGCTCAGCGTACATCAGCAGTGACGAGTTAGTAAGAATACTGCAATAGTAAGGATGGTGAACAGAGGTTCACCAAGTGTCCAACACATCTGCACTTTCTGCTAAGTGCTCTCCGTGGGTAATTCACGCACTGCGTGGTTTTCTACTGAGGTGTGGGGCCTTGTGCAGGTGCAGTCTCGGGTAGCACTGGGGTGAGCACAGCTCTCCAAAGTCGGCCTAGGAGCTCTGTGGCGTGAGGGCTGTTCCCCTGAGTTCGGGGTCTTACAAAAGACATCTGTCTCAAAAGTTCTCTCCAAAAACAAGACACATGTGTGTCCTTTCCACCATATCCCTGCCCACATCAAAAGGGTCACCTGCAAATCGTTAGCACCTTGGTGGATAATCTCATCTGGCCAGGGGCTGAGGTCGGCCCCTTTTCCACATGTGTTAACCACTTGGGTCAAGTCTCTGAATTTTCCTTCGTTGTTTTCATATTTGAAAAGGAAGTTTTGAGTGTTTTTTTTTTTAAAGTTAATTTATTTATTTGAAAGGCAATGAGAGAGAGAGGGAGGGAGGGAGGGAGGGGGGGAGGGGAGAGAGAGAGAGAGAGAGAGAGAGAGAGAGAGAGAGAGAGAGAGAGAGAGAGAGGGAGGGAGAGAGATCTCATTCACTGGTTCACTCCCCAAATGGCTGCAATGGCTGAGGCTGAGCCAGGCCAAAGCCGGGAGCCAGGAACTCCATCTGGGTCTCGCACATGGGCTACAGGGACTCAAGTGCTTGGACATCTGCTGCTGCTGTCCCAGTTGCTTTAGCAGGAAGCTGGGTAGAAGCAGAGTAGCTGGGATTCAGATTGTGTTCCAACAGAGGATGCTGGCATTGCAGGCAGCCCCTAAGCTCACTGTGCCCCAACTCTGGCCCTGGGTTTTTTTTTTTTTTTTTTTTTTTTGACTTGATTAGCAAATTTTTACAAAATATAAAGCACACTGACTTTGTATCATATTACTGGGAATATGTGTCCAGGATTTTTTTTTTTTTGCCTCATAATATGTTTATTGTGTTATTTGTTGCATCATTCACACTTACCGATATTTTTGTTTAGTTTTGCTTTCTTGTGTTTGAAAGCTTAGAAAATTCTATTCTTGGTAGATCAATTAAAGATTCACACATATTTTCCCTTTAAAAAGACTTAACTCTCTAATACCTACAGAAGTTCTCTTTGGTGTAAGGTGTAAGGTGAAGTTCTGACACCATTTTCGTTGACATCCAGGTGTTTCAAACACCGGTCACACTGAGTAGCCCACAGTTCCCCATGGATGGGCGGGCCTTCCTGTGTGGAAGGTACGCTTCCTATGTGTGCCCCGAAGTGGTGTCCTGCGTCTTCTGTAACTGTCCTTTCTCTCCTATGTTTCTGTCGATTCGTACATTAATTCCACAGCATCTCTTTTGATTTATTTAAGATAACCCAAGGATTTATTACTTAATCTGAGAAATAACCTCACTGACACTTTGGGGAAACATTGCTACAGTGACCTAATCTCCCAGAGAGCTGGGGCAAGCTGGGGAAACTGGAGTTTGTGTTCACTGATGATGACAAACGGCTGCATCCCAGAGAGAAAGTGATGTCACCATCACACTTCCTCTCCCGCAAGCAAGGATCCTGGATTTTATAGTCATTTCGCCACACTTATTAGCCTTTTTTAAAAAAGATTTACTCATTTATCTGTTTGAAAGGCAGAGTGGCAGAAAGACAGGGAGAGAAAGAGAGATCTTCCATCTGCTGGTCCATTGCCAGGTGCCTGCAGCGGCTGGAGTCGGGAGCTCCATCCCACATGGGCAGCTGAGGCCCGACTACTTGGGCTCTCCCCCACTGCCTTCCCAGGCGCATTAGGAGGGATCTGGATCTGAAGCGGAGCAGCTGCGACTTGAACTGGAGCTCATGTGGGATGCTGGCATCACAGGCGGAGGCTTAACCCACTGAGCCCCGACGGCAGTCCAACCTATTTTCCTTAAACTTTCTTCCTATTTCAGGGTCACTGGAAACAGCTGAGGCTACTGACGTCTGGCTCTTAATAAGAGTGTGAGGCTCTGATCCAGAAACGCAAAGAAATTCTACGGGAGGTCAGCAGCAACTCCGGATCCAGAGTGGGGCAGGGCCACAGAATTTGTCTGGCCCCCTTGGGGTCTCCCTTCCTCTCTCGCTTCCTTCGGTGTGGAGTTCGCTCCAGCTGCCAGGGTGATGCTTAGGCCGCCAGGGCTGCTGCTGTTCCAACGGTCTCCCCAGTGTCGCCCTCCGGGGAGGCAAGTGGAGGGTCTCTGCACAGAGGCAGAGCCAGCACTCTGTACCCAGCGCTGAGCGAGCCTCACGCTGCCAAGCCTCCCAGAGCTGCGACCCCCAGCTTCTAGAGGGCACTGCAGACCCCAGAGAGCTGCTGCTTGCTCGGTTTTACCTGATGATGTGTGCACTGGAATGATAAAGGCATTGCTGGAGAAGAACTCACGGCTCTTTCTAAACCTTGGGCCAGAGCAAGGACCCCAACATGTTCCTGTAGCCCTCGGCAGACCCTGCTGAGAGTCCGAGAGTGGGGAGGGGGAGGTGTCTGGGATCATTATGCAAAAGCCTCAAGCCCCTGGACCCCTTGAAAGGATCTGGGGGACCTCAGGAGCTGTGATAACTGATAGTGTGGACGGTCCCTACCTCTGCCTCCCGTCTCTCTCTACAGGATTGCACCTTGTCCAAGGGACCAGGTGGTTAGAGGATGCTTGCCTGTCTTTGCATTTTTTCTGATTTTTTCCCCCAATTTTAAAGCAAAAGCTCTCCTGCAGATCAGAGAATACAAGCAGAGGCTTGGCGTGTGCACCGGAGGAGGGAAGAGAGCAGTGGGGATGCAAGGCCTGTCGCTGTCACTCGCCACCCGCCCAAAGGCCCTGCCGCGAAAGAGGAGTAAGGAGCAGCCCTCACCTGCGAGGCCCCAGGGGGCGCTGCCGAATCACTGACGTCAGTCTGCAGGGGTGCCCCGTGCCAGGTGGGGGCCTGTGGAGACCGCCCGTGCCTGGGGGGCCCCGTGGAGATCACCCATGCTGGGGGGGGGGCCCATGGAGATCACCTGTGCCGGGGAGGGTGCTGTGGAGACCTCCCGTGCCGGGGGGCCCAGTGGAGACCACCCGTGGCGGGGGTGGGGGGCCCATGGAGACCGCCCATGCCAGGGGGGGCCCGTGGAGACCGCCCGTGCCAGGGAGGGCCGGTAGAGACCATGTACAGGAAGAGCTTCCTGGAGGCTGCACAGCAGGTGGACTTGGGGGGGGGGTGGTTTCCAGGACAACGATGCGTGGAGATAGAAGGGCTGGAGGGGAACTGAGACAGGGGCCTCCCAGATGTGAGCAGGACTGGACCTTGCGGGCCCACGGAGGGCTCCTGCGGGGGGTGGGAGAGTGGAGAGGGGGTGCAGAGGCCCAGCTCTGGGAGGCTGCGGGTTCCTGGTGAGGAGGCGGTGCCTCATTCTGGAGACACAGGGAGGCAGGGGCAGGGAGCGGCTGCGCAGGCTGGTGCCCAGCTCCGCCCTCTTCTCCTTGGACGTTTGGATTCTTCCCCAGGTGGACTGGAAGCGGTTTTGGAAGCGTCCCTTTGCATCTCTGTACCTCTGTAAGGGCCTGGGGACAGCGGTGCATGTGTGGCTGCCACGAAAGCTTGCGGGTTCACTGGGGACCTCCTTGAAGGGTCAGTGACTTGGGAACCTGCACTCCTGCTGCCAGGTGACGCGGGTAACAGCAGTTCATCGTCTCACAGCTCTAGAGGCCAGAAGCTGAGGGCCGGGGGTCGGCGGTGTGGCCGTTGTGAGCCTGGCTGGGGAGGAGCTGCGGTCCCTTGGCTGGTAGATGCCGCCTGTCCCAGCGTCTTCAGCTCCTCTCTGTGTGTGTCTGAGCCCTGATACCTTCTTTCGACAAAGACAGTGGTCCCAGTGGAGCGGGGCTCTCCCCAGGGACCTCGGTGTCCTTTGATTCCCTCTGTAAAGCCCTCGTCTCCAAGTACAGTTGCATCCCAGGCACCGGGGGCTAGGACGTGTTAGGGAGACATGAGCGTCTGTTTTGGGGGTGTGGGGGTCGTGATTCCCCACATAATAGCGCCTACACCCTTGCTGTCATTGTCCACAGAGTCCACTTCTGTCTTTATATGATCATAGTCTGGTCTTTCCACCTTCAGGTTGGTGGCTTTTCTCCTACTTTATTCTGTGTGGCTTCCAGGTGGAGTTTGCTCTTGTTGCCACTACTGTTTCGGCTTGAGTTTCTCTTGCTTTCAAGTAACAGGAACCAGTTGGACCTTAGTCCTCGGCTCACCTTATTTTCTGTTCCCATCTGCGAAGAAGCAAGTTCCCTGCTATTGACTCTGGCCTTCATTTCTGGTAGTATATGGGGTCCACAGTGAGGCTGGGACAAAGGGCCTGAAGACCAGATTGCAAGGCGGGTCGGTTAGTCTCTAGAAGGGTGTCCTTGTTTGACATTCTTGTTTTTTAAGATTTATGTATTTATTTGGAAGAGCTACAGAAAGAGGGATGGAGAGGGAGAGAAAGAGGGAGAGGGAGAGGGAGAGAGAGAGAGAGAGAGAGAGAGGTCTTCCATCCACTGGTTCACTCCCCACATGACCACATGGCCAGGACTGAGCCAGGAGCTTCCTCCTGAACTCCAATGTTGGTAGCAGGGGCCCAAACATCTGGGCTTTCGCAGGTGCATTAGCAGAGAGTTGGATCAAAAGTGGGACAGCCAGGACTCGAGCTGGCGCACATACGGGATGCCAGCGTGGCAGGTTGCGACATTTACCCACTACGCCACAGCACTGGCCCAAGGTTTGTCCTCCTAACTCTGTTATTGTACAGCTCATTATCTTTCATTAAATCAAAATTCTATGGCCCTGGGTTTTCTTGCTTGAGAAAGCATGTGTCTAATAATGGGATACTTAGGAAAATAAAATGGGCTGGCTAAGTGACTGCAGGTGAAAAGTGAGACAGCACAACACATTGTTACGTCGCTGTGGTTACTGGCATTATTTTATCTGAATGGATCCTTCTACAAATTTCTTTGACTGCAAGAGGGGTTACTAGACGTTTTAGCCACACTAGAAATTGGCCAGCCTTACTAAGTACTTAGCCAAAGACAGGAGTAGGGCGCTGTGATAATCTGCATTACGTTTTTACCTTTGTCAACACTTCCTTTATTTGAGGGAGGTGTGGTGTTGGGGAAATGTGCTATTGAGGAAGTAGAAGTGTTTACAACATGAAGAGTGAACAGGAATGGTTACTCTTGGCTTCTGAGTGCAGGCAGATTGAATTCCTGTCTTTGTCTCAGACGTCCCCCGAAAACCCACAAACACAACAGCGAAAGTGCGTTTAAGGCACTCACCCGCAAGAATAAAGAGGGTAAGAGGGGAATTCACCTATCAGAGCTGACTCCCTTGCAGCTTTGCAAAACGATGTGGGATAGGGAAAAGGCTTGTTTCTGCAGTTTTCAAAAATCTAACAAATACTGTGCTATAAAGAACGCGTGAATTTCTTAATATTGGATGCCACGAATGTCCCTGTTTATGTGTGTGTGTCAGTAACAACACACCAGAACAGGAGAATACACTTGCATAGGGGCCAGACAGGCCTCCCCTGCCTTTGGGTGCCGGCAGACATGGCCCTGAGCGATGGGAGACCCAGAGGCCTGGACTCCTCAGCCAATTAGGGTCAGACACCCGGTACAGCCGCACGACTCCACCTGCCACGCAGCCCAGGCCGCAGCCCTCTTCCTCCGGAGGTCAACAAGAGCAGCGTTATTCAGGGCAGGAGACACCTCTGTCGCTTCGGCAGCCACAGACTTGCAGGCTCCCTGGCCTGGAAGCCCAGTCACAAATGCTTCTGGCAGATGTCGTGAAGAAAGAGTGTCTGATGCTGCATGTTAACTGTGTGTCTTCATTTGAAAAGATGAAAACGACTGTCAGGTCGGGGATGAACCGTAAGTATATTTTCTTTTTTAAAAAAACTTTTATTTAATAAATATAAATTTTGAAAGTACAACCTTTGGATTATAGCGGTCCCCCCCCCATAACTACCCTCCCACCCGCAACCCTCCCATCTCCCACTCCCTCTCCCTTTCCATTCATATCAAGATTCATTTTCAATTATCTTTATATACAGAAGATTGATTTAGTATATACTAAGTAAAGATTTCAACAGTTTGCCCCCACACAGACACACAAAGTATAAAGTACTGTTTGAGTACTAGTTTTACTGTTAATTCACAGTGCAACACATTAAGGACAGAGATCCTACATGGGGAGTAAGTGCACAGTGACTCCTGTTGTTGATTTAACAATTGACACTCTTATTTATGACGTCAGTAATCACCCTAGGCTCTTGTCATGAGTTGCCCAGCCTATGGAAGCCTCTTGAGTTCACAAACTCCAACCTTATTTAGACAAGGCCATAGTCAAAGTGGAAGTTCTCTCCTCTCTTCAGAGAAAGGTACCTCCTTCTTTGATGGCCCATTCTTTCTGCTGGGAGCATTCCTTTTGCCACAGTGTCTTGGCTTTCCATGCCTAAAATACTCTCCTGGTCTTTTTAGCCAGATCTGAATGCCTTAAGGGCTGATTCTGAGGCTAGAGTGCTATTTAGGACGTCTGCCATTCTATGAGTCTGCTGTGTATCCTGCTTCCCATGTTGGATCATTCTCTCCTTTTTAATTCTATCAGTTATTATTAGCAGTGATCCCTTTGACACTTAATCCTATCTTTTTGACCAATTATGAACTTAAACTGATCACTTTGACTAGTGATATGGCATTGGTACATGCCACCTTAATGGGATTGAATTGGAATCCCCTGGCACGTTTCTAGCTCTACCATTAGGGGTAAGTCCGAGTGAATCTATAAATTGCTTTTGGGAGAATGGACATTTTGAGGATATTTATTCTTCCAATCCATGAGCATGGAAGATTTTTCTATTTTTTGGTATCCTCTTCTATTTTTTTAAGGTTTTATAATTCTCATTGTAGAGATCTTTGACATCTTGGTTAAGTTTATTCCAAAGTATTTGATTGTTTTTGTAGCTACTGTGAATGGGATTGATCTTAGAAGTTCTTTCTCAGCCATGGCATTGCCTGTGTATACAAAGGCTGTTGATTTTTGTGCACTGATTTTATATCCTGCTACTTTGCCAAACTCTTCTATGAGTTCCAATAGTCTCTTAGTAGAGTTCTTTGGAGCCCCTAAATAAAGAATCATATCATCTGCAAAGAGGGATAATTTGAGTTCTTCCTTCCCAATTTGTACCCCTTAATTTCTTTTTCTTGCCTAATGGCTCTGAGCTAAAACTTCCAGAACTATATTGAATAGCAGTGGTGAGAGAGGGCATCCCTGTCTTGTACCAGATCTCAGTGGAAATGCTTCCAACTTTTCCCCATTCAATATGATGCCGGGCATGGTTTTTTTTTTTTAGATTTTTAATTAATTTATTTGACAGATAGAGTTTACAGACAGTGAGAGAGCGAGACAGAGAGAAAGGTCTTCCTTCCATCGGTTCACTCTTCAAATGGCTGCAACAGCTGGAGCTACACCGATTTGAAGTCAGGAGCCAGGAGTTTCTTCCTGGTCTCCCATGTGGATGCAGGAGCCCAAGCACTTGGGCCATCCTCCACTGCTATCCCAGTCCACACTGGAGAGCCATACTGGAAGAGGAGCAACCAGAACTAGAACCCGGCACCCATATGAGATGCTGGTGCCATAGGCAGAAGACTAACCTAGTGTGCCATGGCACTGGACTGCCCATGGGTTTTTCATAAATTGCCTTGATTGTGTTGAGGAATGTTCCTTCTATACCCAATTTGTTTAGAGTTTTCATGAAAGGGTGTTGTGTTTTATCAAATGTGTTCTCTGCATCTATTGAGATAATCACATGGTTTTTCTTCTGCAGTTTGTTTATATGGTGTAGCACATTGATTGATCTGCAAACGTTGAACCATCCCTGCATATCAGGTCTGGGTGGGTGATCTTTCTGATGGGTTGTTGCATTCTATTGGCCAAAATTTTATTGAGGATTTTTGCTTCTATGTTCATCAGGGAAATTGGTTTGTAATTCTCTTTCTTTGCTGAATCTTTTCCTGCTGGCTTCATAGAATTTGGGAGGATTCCCTCTCTTTGAATTGTTCTGAACAGTTTGAGAAGAATTGGGATTAGTTTTTCTTTGAATGTCTGGTAGAATTCAGCAGTGAACCCATCCGGTCCTGGGCTTTTATTTTTTGGGAGGGACTTTACTACTGATTCAATTTCTGTCTCAGTTATGGGTCTGTTTAGGTTTTCTATGTCTTCCTGGTTCAATTTAAGTAGGTTGCAGGTGTCCAGGAATCTATCCATTTCTGATAGATTTACCAGTTTGTTGGCATACAAATCCTTGTAGTAATCTCTGATGACTCTTTTTATTTCTGTGGCGTCTGCTGTTATATTCCCTTAATATTCTCTGACTTTATTGGCTTGGGTCTTTTCTCTCCTTTTTTAGTTAGTTGGGTCAATGGTGTGTCAATTTTGTTTAGTTTTTCAAAAAACCAGCTCTTCGTTTTGCTGATCTTTTGTAATGTGTTTTTGTATTCAATTCTGTTGATTTCTTCTCCTACTAGTTTTGGGTTTGGTTTGCTGTATTTTTTCAAGATCCTTGAGATCCATTGATAGCTCATTTATTTGGTGCCTTTCCAATTTCTTGATGTAGGCACCTATTGCTATAAACTTTCCTCTTAACACTGTTTTTGCTGTATCAAATAAATTTTGATATGTTGTGTTGTTATCTTCATTTGCTTCTAGAAATTTTTTGATTTCTCTTTTGATTTCTTCTATGACCCAGTGTTCATTCAGGAGCATGTTGTTCAGTCTCCATGTGTTTGCATATGCTGTAGGGATTCCTGAGTTGCTGATTTCCGGCTTCATTCCATTGTGGTCTGAAAAGATGCATAGTATGATTTCGATTCTTTTGAATTTGCTGAGACTTGATTTATGGCCTGATATGTGGTCAATCCTAGAGAAGGTTCCATGCACTGCTGAGAAGAATGTGTATTCTACAAGTGTAGGATGAAAAGTTCTGTATATATCTGTTAGATCCACTTGGGCTATAGTGTCGATTAAATCTGCTGTTTTCCTTGTTGATTTTCTGCCTGGTTGATATGTCCATTGCTGAAAGTGGAGTATTGAAGTCCTCCAATACTATTGTACTGGAGTCTAAGTATCCCTTTAAGTCCCTTAACATATCTTTTAAATAAACCGGTACCCTGTAATTAGGTGCATATACATTTATAATAGTTACGTCTTCCTGTTGAATTGATCCCTTAATCATTATATAGTGCCCCTCTTTGTCTCTCTTAACAGTTTTTGTGTTAAAGTTTATTTTGTCTGATATGAATATGGTTACGCCAGCTCTTTTTTCATTTCTGTTGGCATGTATATCTTTTTACAGCCTTTCACTTTCAGTCTGTATGCATCTTTGTTGGAAAGATGTGTTTCTTGTAAGCAGCAATAGATGGGTTTTGTTCTTTAATCCATTCAGCCAGTCTGTGTCTTTTAACTGGATAGTTGAGGCTGTTTACATTCAATGTGACTATTGATAATAGTGACTTTGCCCTGCCATTTTTCCAAAGATATTTTCTAATTTACGCTTTGAACTTCCTGTGATCATTTCCTGGGAGGTTTCCTTCCTTTACCTTCTTTCATATTGATGACCGTGTTTCTGTGTTTCTCTGTGTAACACATCTTTAAGCATCTTTTGCAGGGCTGGACAAATGGTGACAAGTTCTTTCAATTTCTGTTTGCTATGAAAGGTCTTTATTTCACCTTATTTCACAAATGAGAGCTTTGCAGGATATAATATTCTGGGCTGGCAGTTTTTTTCTCTTAGTACTTGGGCTATATCTCGCCATTCCCTCCTAGCTTGTAGGGTTTCTGATGAGAAGTCTGCTGTAACTCTAATTGGAGATCCTCTTAGAGTCATCTGACATTTCTCTCTTGCACATTTTAGAATCTTTTCTTTTTTATTGTTTTACAGGTAGAGTTATAGACAGAGAGCGAGACAGATAGAAAGGTCTTCCTTCCGCTGGTTCACCACACCCTCCTGAAATGGCTGCTATGGTCAGAACTGCGCCAATCTGAAGCCAAGAGCCAGGTGCCTCCTCCTTTTCTCCCATGCAGGTGCAGGGCCCAAGCACATGGGCCATCCTCCACTGCACTCCCGGGCCACAGCAGAGAGCTGGACTGGAAGAGGAGCAGCCGGGACTAGAATGGCGCCCATATGGGATGCTGGTGCCACAGGCGGAGGATTAACCAATTAAGCCATGCGCTGGCCCAGAATCTTTTCTTTATGTTTCACTGTGTTGAGTTTGATTATAATGTGTCATGGTGAGGATCTCTTTTGGTCAAGTTTATTAGGAGTCCTATGAGCTTCCTGTACTAGGATGTCTCTGTCCTTCTCCAAACCCGGGAAGTTCTCTGCAAGTATCTCACTAAAAAGGCCTTCTAATCCTTTCTCTCTCTCCATGCCTTCAGGAACTCCTAGAACCCAAATGCAGGGTTTTAATAGTATCCTGTAGATTTTCAACAATATTTTTTAGATTTCTAATTTCTTCTTCTTGTCTTTGGTTTGACTGTATCCTTTCCTGTGCTCTGTCTTCTAAGTCTGAAATTCTCTCTTCTGCCTCACTGATTCTGTTTTTAAGGCTTTCAACTGCGTTTTTTATTTTTTCTATTGAATTCTTCATTTCATTTTGATTCCTCCTTAAGATTTCATTTTTATGAGAGAGATTTTCTCTCATGTCCTGCATGGATTTCAGTAGTTCATCAAATGGCAAAGTTCAATTTTAACCGAATCAAAATGAATTTGCAACCCTTTCAGAAAGCCTGACCTTTTAGGTAAGAGGGGTGCTCATGGTCTGAGCAATAATGAGGTACCATTCCTTCTGGGGGCTGCAGCTGTGACCTGAGCATCTACCTGTCCACAGGCTGATTCTCATCTGAGATTTGGGTGGGCAGCTTCTGGGGGGATCCCAGGGTGG